AATAATAATATAATAATAATAATATAATAATAATAATAATAACTAATAATAAAATAATAATAAATCGTTCTATAACATTATACAAGATAGTTAAATATTGGTGCCCATCCTAAATATCTATTTTTAAAAGTTGATCTTTTAGATTGGGTTAAATCTTTACATTTAAAGCAAAAGATTGTATCCTGAAATATAATTAAAACTAAAGCATAATAACTTGCAAAACTAATCTATTTTACTTCATTTTACTTTATAATCAATGAATACAAATAGAGTGATAGGTGGATCAAAGGTTTATATGTCATAATAATTTAAGCAATCAACACTATATTACAGTAGCATAAAGACTACCAGAGAACTTAGAACCTAAAAGAGATAAATTTTTGAGTTATGTATTATATTATAAAATACATTATAATTATTCTCTTTCTTTTATTAGAAATATAAATAAGACACTACTAATATTTGATATATATAGTAACTATATAATAGAAGAAGCTAGTGCTCATACAGTTGAAATTTGTATAACCAGATATGAGAAATCTAATTTTACAGTTGTATTAAGTTGTTTAGCTGATAATACTAAATTGCCCTTTATAATAATTTTTAAATTAGTCAAAGTATTATGACAAATATTTTCATCAGATATCATTATATGAGCTAATCCTGAGGGATACATAAATTCTAAGAAAATAATTTTTTGAATTGAAAAGATCTAAAAAAATTAAGCTTTTTTATCTATTAATCCTTACTTATTACTTGTTTTAGATTCATTTTGTGGTCACCTTACAGACAATTAAAAATAGATTTGAAGAAAAAAATATCAATATTACAGTAATTCTAGATGAACTTACCAAAAAATTACAATTCTTAGATGTATATATTAATAAATCCTTTAAGGATAAGGTAAACTAATATTTTAAAATTATTGGTGCATTTATTTAAGTATATAAGTAAAAATAGTATTATTTATTAATTACATAATTGTCACAACTAATATTAAAGTTTAGTTAAAGTTAAAATTAATAAATCTGTTTAATTAATAATCTTGATCAATTAATAGTTTATTTGTTTTAATTTGAGCTAAATTTTAATATTAGCTAAAAATTTTTTTTAAAATTTTAAGTATTGTAAGTGCTATCTTAGTTGAATGGATAAAAAAATTAAAAAATTAATGTCCACAGATCATATTCAAAGACCCTTTTATAATTTGGTAGCAAGATAGATTAAAACAATATGAAACCTTGTTAACTCTGATCTTATAAAATAATTATTCAAATGCTATAGTATATCTACAGCTTAGGATAGATTTGAGAAGAATATAATGTTTGATTATAATTGGGTCACTAATCCAGAACATCAAAATAGTGATTAAATATATATCAATATAGATAATGCAAATAAAAATGAAGAGGTTATTAATTTGACTTAAAACAATAATAATAATAATAATAGTAGTTTGAATAAAAATAACAAAATGAAAATAAATATGATAGTGAAGATAGGAATAATGTTAGTGAAAATAAAAATAATAATAAAGATTATAATAGTTTGAAGATAGATAAGAATGATGATAGCTTGAATGAAGATAGAGTATAATTTTTTTTTAATATTAAAAGATATAAATTTTTTTAAAAAAATTTGTTAATTAAAGAAAGTCATAAGAAAGATTTATATTATGCTGATCAAATAACTGAATATGTTTATATGTGAGATTGAAAAAATATTTACTTGTCTACTCAAATCATAGAAAACATAATAAGTATAGTAATAAAAAATAGAATATTAATAAGTAATGTTAATATAGTCAAAAATAATGATATATTTGATTTATTATATGATAAACAAATTTAAAGAATAACTTGTAGCTTTCATTAGTATTAAATAATCATAAAACAATTGTAATAAAGGAAAAACCATAAATAAAAATAGATGATATCTGCTATTATAGCTATAAAACAATTTATAAAGTTCATATTCACAAGCAATTTTGCAAGAAAATATATGTTATAATCTGGCTATGTGTAATTTGTTCATAGTACCTTATATTTTATTGCTAAATTTAATCATGAAGTAACCCACTACTTGATAGAATTGTACTGTATAATTTACTTATAAATTTAAATAAATCATTAGAAATCAAACCAGATTATTTAAGACCATTAGAAAATAATAAAGAAATATATTAATAAACTATAAAGCAACACAATATAACACATATAACAATAAGTTAACATATCAATATTGATATATTAAGAATTATTTAAATGCTATGCAAACAGCATATAAGATACTATTAAATATTTTTTAGATAGGACTATACTTCAAATACTGTATATCATATTAAACCTTTTTAATATTTATTCTTATTTATATACCAGGGTCTTTTAATATTTATTCCTATGTTTATATTTAGGTCTTTTAATATTTTATTCCTGTTTATATACCTGGGTATTTTACAATTTACTAAAATCTTAATTTATGTTATAGACCTAGATATAATACATAGTGGGTTTGATATCTGAAAGGATCTTGTATATAACAGTTTACAGTATATAAATTTATAATGATTGCTGGTTCTTAACAGAGTTTAGTAAAACCTTCTAATCCTAGCAAAGATTAGTATAATGGATCATTTCTAAAAAGTTTAAAAATATAGAATGAGAAAAATCAAGATTCAGTAATCTTAAACATTAAGAACATTGTTCAGAAATTATATAGACATGAAGAAACTCAACAAGATCATCAAAAAGAAAAAAAATAATTTCAAACCATTTTAATAATCTAAAATAAATTTATCAATAAAAATTATTTTGTAATTTTTAAAATATTTTAAAATTATTTTAAAATTTTTGAAATATTTCAAAATTCTTTTAATTATTTCATTATTTTTGAAATATTTTAAAATTTTTTTTAAATATTTCAAATATTTTTAAATTATATTTTCAATTTTTCAATTTTATTTATTTTTAAATTATTGCAAAATAATCAAAATTTTTTTAAAATTATTTCAATTATTTTACAATATTGCAAAATTATTTTATTTTGAAATCATTTCATATTAATTACAGTTATTTGGAAAGTTTTTTAATATGCAAAATCTTTTGTAATTTATAATAACAAAATAAAATTTAATTTTTGATTGCACAAGATTGCTATTAAAATGCTATGTAGTATTAAGTAATATACTTTTTTAGTTCAAGTTAATGTTAATAATTAAAATATTAGAATAATTAATATTATTAGAATGTAGCAATATCAAAATGAGGTGTGGAAATATCAATTTCCTAATTTCAATGATCAGAATATTTTTATTATCAATTTTTGCCTATACACTAGTAATATTAATATATTCAATTTATATTATAATAAATCATTACTATATAAATTGAAAATATTAGTATTGATAGTATTATAAGTATCACTAATTTTACTAATATTAACAGTTTTACTAGTATCACCAGTATTACTATTATTACCAATTTCACTAGCTTCATCAGTTTCATCAGCATTACCACTGCTTACTGGAGAAAATTGGTGCACCATTACGGCTTAGTTTCATCTACAATTCTAGAAGGTAACCTAAAAAAACGCCTTTTCGTATCCACACTGATAATAAAACTCAACTCAGAATCATCCTGTCCTAAATTTATCATTAATAATAGTCTAATTAAAAGCACTGGATTGTTTAGTCAACTACAAACGCTAATAGCAAGATGCGCTCGGTAAAAAAAATGACTACGTCAAGAGAAAATCAGTGTTCGGATCTCAAGTTTATAATTTATTTACTATACTCAGCTTTGATTGGAGACATATATGATACATGCGTGCTGTATGTTCGGGCAATAACGTTATTTTGAATATATGTGCGTTATTTTGAGACAAAGATAATTCGTCCGACATATATATGAGTGTTATTACGTGAAAATACAGTAAGTAAATTGGATCATATATCACATATGTCACTGGTCGAAGGTTGAGTCCGATAAATAATAAGTGTGAGGGACCTGTTCAAGTTGAGATGATAATAGCGATTGAAATGGGACAAATATTCCAAATATTCCAGAAAAAAAATTCTATAGAATACAAAACTATGAAATTTATTTTATATTTAATATGTAGTTAGGAATTAATACAAGAGAAACGTTTAATGAATTCATCAAATGCTTCATTTATTTTCTTCCATTCTCCTTCTGCACAAAAGCTACACCATCTTTCAACGAATATCAATATACCTAACATAAATTTTTGTTCAGTGGCATGGTCAAGAATAAACAATGAATAGTATAGATGTTGCATGATTAATGGAAATAGTGTAAAGAGATTCTGCGTGTTTTTGCGTTTACGTGAAGAAAGAGAAGTTGAAGAATGTAGGGTCCTAAGAATGTCACAAAGCTTTTCAAGCGCGGAACAGTAGTGTATATAAAATAATAATATTTAATAGATGTGTTATTAAGAATGAATAATAAACTAAGATAGCTTACTTTCTCAACACCATAGATAGCCTTCTTGACCACCACACGCTTTAGATTTATCAATTTTAAATATTCTTTTGTAATACTTATACGGCTCCAATGAAACTCTTTGCCATTGCGGAACCTCCTAAATTTTATTGTATTTAACTTTTCGCAGGATAGATACAAAACATCTCCTATACTTTCCATTTTTGCAATTGCCTTGAGAAAGTTTTGTTGAAATAAGCTATCTTCCTGTTCTTTAAACATTAGTTCTGTCCAATCACCTAATGTAAATCTGCCCTTTTGTTCTATAATATGGGCAATTTTCCAACAGTTCCAAGTAATGGTTACCAACCGAGCGCTCTCTCTCTCAAAAGTAAGAGGATAGGGTGAAACCTAGAATTATAGTTGGATATCAAAGTCTCATAATTTTGTATTATTTCATCATTAATAACAAATTGTGAATCATCAATCCCGATCACGTCTACTTGCTCAATGAGTACTTTAGATTTATATCTACTCCACAAAACGACCAAAAGACAAATATAATATTCGTATAATGGATCAGATTTTGTGGACGTTACGAGGTGGTTTGCCTCTCCGTGTGCTATACGGTCCCTTAATCTAGGGCCAGCGTTATAAATAAAAAGATCAAGCATAAGATCCTTTTTTATTGTAAATTCAGTTAAATTATGAGTTTTATTTATTAACATGATTAACGATAAACAGATTATTTACATACCATAATACCACCCCCAAACTCTTCATAAATCTGATTTCTAGGCTCCTCGTCCTTAATTTCTTTTTCTAGACCATAATATGCCCAAGAAACTTTTTCTTCCAAAATAATGTCCAAGGTTAAAAAATATTGACCAACTTCCACAGTACCTAGCCAATGTTCTTGCACTCCATTCACAGAAACAAAAATTCTGCGCAAACAATGTTCAAAAAGGGGAAGTGAAAGAATTAGAAAAGGAATTATTTGATTATTAGATAAAAAATTAAGCGCATGAAACCATGTTGAATGTGTTTGATAAATTACGAAAAAATTCTTGTAAAGTAAGTTTTTTAATATATGAAAATGTGGGTATTGTGGTGGTACTGTCATTGATTGTTCAGAAACGAATGTTAAAAATAATAATTACAATGATAATAATTAAACCCAGAAATAAATAAAATGGCTTGATGTATACGAACTTTGACTAAACATAATGCGTTCGTATTCTTGATCAAAAATTTTATTAATCTCATCACTCGTAGTGATATTTTCCGCAATAATGTTAGGTTGAGATAAACGAAAAAAACCTTCAAAACTTGCATCATTCCTTTTCTTTAATGATTCTATCAAATCACGGAGCCTTACTCTGTGACAAATAGTTAGAGTGACTACGATAATGAGGGCAGAGTACCATTTAGCGGGAATAGGTAAAAATTCGTTAGGACTAACAAAACCATGCCAAAGAATATTTCTCAAATTCATTGAGCTTGGAGGCCCAATTAAGCAACGTAAAAAAAAAATAATATCTTCTCCTAGCAGGGGAACAAGTGGTGGAGCAATAAGAAGATCGCGGATAAGAGATGGAATAATAAATGAACCATTACGAATGGAATATATTATCTAAATCATAGAAAAAGTTACAGACACGCGTTTGATTTAAACCATTATAAAAAATCACATACATCACCCAATATCCTCTCTAAAGATGAAATCCCCAAAAGAAGTGATGTGAAAAAATCTTGTTTATGATATAAATCTATGCACTTGGCGAATATCTATGAACATAAAGGTCTTTTGTCGTGATGACATTTAACCGATAATTTTACTTTAAATAGTTATTATTCCATACATCACTATAACCGCACCACTTCAACTCTTCGACATATAGGTCAAAAAAATCATTAGCCGTTGATATGTTAGAATCCATAAATTGTGCGACCCTCATTGCAACAAGCTTGATTTTAAGCGAAGCTTTATTGAAAGCTTCCACCTCTGAAGTGTCAAACGGGAACGAATCTTACAGGTAAAGAAAAATATTTTAATAAACGTTGATAAAGTTTAAACACTCTAAGAATCATACATACTTTCCCGAATGCTAAGTATCGCTTCTTGTCGAAGTAAACCATTATTACAAATTACATTCCCGAAAGAGATACCGCTACCAATAACGACTTTATTGCATTCTGTTGGCAAAATCAATTGTACGACACGTGTGCTTAAGCAACTTTGCCATTGATGCAAAACTCTTTCAAAAGTTTTTTGAACATTTTCGTCAGAAGACACAGAAAGTTGTAATATTTTTCCCAGTCTGAAAGTCTCGATTAAGGGGTTTTCCATGTTAAAAATCATGTAAATGATCGGCCAGATATTATAAAAAAGGACTGTGATTGCTTAGATATCAAACCTTTTTCCTTTTTTTTTTTTTTTTAAATTGATGTCACTTGCGATGTCGTCATTTGTCCGTAGACTTGCTTTTATTGCTAGCACCATAGGTGGTGTATATTTAGCTGACGATAAATGGAACGCAAGAACTTTGCAAAGAAATGTCCTGACAGCATGGAATGGGTAAATAATTTATTTTCTTTGTTCAAATATACATTACTGAATTATTTTTATTAGCATTTGTATAGGACTTGATTACAAAATAAACTTTCGACCAGGAAAAGGAGACAAAATTGATGATTTACATGAGCGTGTTGCAAAAAGAATTTTAAACGTTTGTCTAACTAATGGGTACGTATAGCTATATTTTGTTCTGTAAACATTTTCCACCTAAATCTATATTTAAATCTGTTTTATAGAGGTCTATATATAAAATTAGGCCAAGCGATAGGAGTGCAATCAACAATTTTACCGGCAGGTAATTTTAGAAAATCAGTTTGTAACTTTTCAATTACTTTATTAATCTATTGTTATTTTTTCTGCTTTAGCCTACCAAAAGACATTTAAACAATTATATGATGACGCGTAAATTTCAATCTTACAAATTTTATTTTTATAAAAGTAAATTTCCTTCATAAATGATTTCATAATAATCATAGCCCAGCGGTTGATTTCGACCGCGTTGTCAAAGTATTTAAAGAAGACTTTAATTGCCACCCTGATGAAATATTTGATGATTTTGAACGTACAGCAATCGCATCAGCAAGCATTGCTCAGGTTTGGTGTACCTAACCTTTTATATTATATGTTTGCAATGATTTAAGGTTATTTGTCTTTATCTTCATATCCAGGTTCATCGCGCAAAACTTAAAGATGGAACACCAGTTGCAGTCAAAGTGCAAAAACCAGATATAAGACGGCAAATAGTTATCTATACTTACAATTTTATCATTAGATGTTTGTTATATATGTTATTCATAACTTCAATTCTTTAGGATTGGGATTTATTAGCATATAAAGGATTGATGCACATGTACGAATACATTTTTGACCTTCCTCTTGTATGGTCTGCAGATTATACAGAGAAACATTTAAGACAAGAAGGTAATTGCAAATTGCCATAATTTAATTAGTGTTGTTATTAGTTATATTTCTTTCAATAAATAAATATTAAGTTTTATAAAAAATTAAAATATGGTAATCAAAACAGTTGACTTTGAAAATGAAGGAAGGAATTCTGAAAGAGTACGGATCGAATTTGAAAAGGAGGGATCATTGAGTGACAAAGTTTATGTGCCTAAAGTGTTTTGGGATCAAACAAGTAAGCGAGTGCTGACTGCTGAATGGATAAACGGCATAAAAATTACGGATCGGGAAGGATTGCAACGGTTTGTACATCATTTTAAATCAATATAAATTAACTCAATTATTTATTATTCGACTACATTAATTTATAGGCTCGGGTTTAGTTTTAATGATGTTATGAAGACAGTCATTGATATTTTTGGTTGGTTAAATTATTTGTCTTTCCTACCGTAATGATTTGAGTTTGAAGACATAGTTTTATTTACATTATTCTGACATCGAATTTAGCATTCCAAATATTTGTCAGCGGTAAGTCCAAAAGGAATGATCACTAGTCAAAAGGAATGATCACTAGTCAAAATGAAAAATCAATACCAATTCACCCTAGTTAAAAATTACATTGATTTACTGCTGAATGTGCAAACTGTATACTAGTTGTCTGTATTCTGTCAATATTAAGCCAGTCAACTAGTCAAATATTGACAAAGCTGCAGATTGCTCGCAGAATGCCGACAATAGCCAATACACATTCAGCACATTTGGTAACCAATTAATCTTATTAAAATCAGAATGAATATCCACTGATTTTATTATTTTCGACTAGTGGATGTTTCAAAGATATACTTATCATTGCTAATTATTTCTTGATACTTTTAGGTTTTGTACATGGTGACCACATAACTATTTTAAATTATGGTATCTTGTTTCTGCTTAATACTTAACATAATCTTCTTTATTTTATTTCAGCTGATCCACATCCAGGGAATGTTATGGTCAGGCCTCATCCCTCAAAATCAAATAAGTACTATCAAGTTGTGCTAATTGACCATGGTTTATGCATGGAAGAATCAATTGCATTCCGTCATCAATATTGCTTGTTTTGGAAGTCGGTGAGTTAAATAACGACAATATCCTATTTATGTCATTTTACAAGTATTGACTTACTAAACTTGTAATAAAGCTCTTTCTTATGGACTCTGACATGATAAACCAAATTTGTAAAGAATGGGGTATAAACGAACCAGAATTATTTGTGAGTGCTACTTTGATGAAGCCTTATACTTCACAAACTGCACTTCATATTTCCTCTACACAGGCAGCTACGTTACGAGATGCATATGAAATGCAGATGGCTGTGAAAGATCGCATCCGGAAATTTCTTGCTGATACTGAGCTTATTCCAAGAGAATTAATATTTGTTGGTAGAAATATGAATATTGTCCGCGCACTAAATAGAGAGCTTGGAAGCCCTGTAAATCGAGTCAATTTGATGGGTAATTGGGCAGTCAAAGGTCTCGGTCCCGATTGGTCAAATTGGGGTGGAAATGCCAAGACATTTGAATGGCAGCAACGACAAATTTCACAATTTATTTCAGACGGCGTTCATCGACTTTCAATATCCCAGAAAACGTTTCTGTCATTTTTTGAGCGGTTTGGATTCCTATTAAAGAGCAGATTTAACTACTGGCTGTTTCAGGGAACATTATTTCTAATCTCTTTAAGCTTTTATTTTAATAATGCTAAAGAAGCTATTAATAGCTGGATATATAATAGTGGGCCCCGTGGATTCGAAGAGGTTTTGGATGATCAAATAAAAACTTCATTAGAAGAGAATTTTGGAATGATGTTTAATGAAAAAATTTTTGAAGGGTAACTTTTTTGAAAAATGTATATTTATACGTAGCATATTCAAATAATTTCAAATACAACATTGTGATAAAAAGTATAGTTATATAGTTTATAAATATATATAATTTAATTATATAATATAAACTTGTTTAGTATTAAGGTAAGATTTTGCTTTATAACTATATTTATGTTTATACAAACTATTGTATTATATAATATTTACTAAGACTATTTTATTTATAGTTAAAACCTATTAGAGTAACTATATATAAAGAAAAGTTAACAAAAATAAATAATTTTTTTTTAAAAGTTCTTTTGCTTTAAATTAAATGTTTTAATAATTGTTGAAAATGATGCTAAAATTGGCTAAAGCTGAAAATTTGAGATTTTAATTTGATTTATAAAATTGACTGATACTTACTTATACTTACTTATTTATTATAAATTTTATTTATAAAGTTAATCTTTAATCTTAATAAGATAGTTAAATTTTTAGCTTTAGTTACTATAATAATTATTAAAAAAATTTAATAAAATTTTAAATATTGTTATTTATTATTGGTGGCAAATATTGTTAAGAATATTGTCTTAAAAATTTATTAGTTAATACAATCACATTTTTCTAAGTACATGTTTTAGAAACTGGGTACAAGTGTGCACTTAGAGAGGATATGCATTTAAAGAATTAATTTAACACCTTTTAATTAAAAATAAGCTACTGCATAATTAATATAGTTACTATATCCCTTAAACTGTATTTCAGGCAAATTTGCCTAGAAAATTAAATTGTATTTAGTATTTTTTAAATAAAACAATAATTTAT